TCTAAGGTCAACGTTTAATCAACTAGGTTAAGGAACAAAATATATTATCTAGTCAAGGTTTACCTGAGAATATTTGATTTTTTACCCAAGCCTTATCTACACAGCACATGATAATTAAAAGTACCAGACTGGTGGAACTAACCTTATTGGATGTTTAACAACAATAGTTTGAAGTCTATACTAATGTGGTCAGAGGGACTTAAAGGACAGTTTTGGCCCCTTGCCCTCCAAGGTCGACTAAGTTCCAGGGGACTATGGAACATCTCTCAAAATGTCCTGTAACTGTGGTGAGTCACCTGTCTTCTTGTTCAGGGAGTACATGGAGACCCCACGAGATGGACTTGAACCAGTGTCCAGTCTACAAAGAGGATCAAATCAGAGGAAACATCTCATTCATGCTTCCAATTGAAGCCAGACATGGTTGAGCAGGACCTTTGACTTATCTTCACATAGATGGAAATGGTAAAAGAAAGGAGCCAGTAGCTCCTCTCAAGCCCATGTGACCTCTGAGGAACAGATCCTCAAATGACCTTAAGTGTAAAAATAAATTGATTTATTTGGGAAAATAGTATGGTCTTAAACACCCAAAAGGAAAGTATAACCAAAGAGTAAAGTCATCAGTATATTTCTTTAAGAGTTCGGGGCTGGAATGATGGCTCGGTGGTTAAGAACACTGGCTGTTCTCACAGAAGACCCGGGTTCGATCCCAGGACCCACATGGCAGCCTCTTCTGTCCTCTTCTGTCCTCTGCGGCATTGCACAACACAGGTGCACTTAACTACATGCAGGCAATACACACATACACATAAAATTAAAATAATAAAATATTTTAAAAAAGAATGGAATATATTTATATACAAAAATATCACACTGAACCTCATTTCTGTTTTTTTTTTCATATTTTATTACTTTTACTTTATGTACACGAGTGTATTGCCTGCATGTGTGTAAGTGCATCCATGTCCTAAAAGGCCCATGGAGGTCAGAAGAGGGTGTTGGATCCCCTGGAACTGGAGTTATGGATGGTTTTTAGCCACTATGTGGGTGCTGGGATTCAAATCTGGGTCCTCTGCAAGAGCAACCAGTGCTCTTAACCCGAGTCATTGCCCCAGCCCCAGTTCATTTCTTTGTAAGTTAACCAAAAACATAACTCTAAAAGGATTTCATTGAAAAAAAATTATAAAAACCACTATATAACCATATATTGTTTGTTTATTAGGAGCTGGAGAGGGTGATCATTAGTTAAGAGCACTGGCTGCTCTTGCAGAGAACTTCCATCCAGTTCCCAGAACCCATGTCAGGCAGCTTACAACCAATTCTAACTCCAGCTCCAAGGGATGCAACACACCCTCTTCTGGACTCTCTAGGCACCTGTACTCACATGCACATATCTGCACACAGTTGCACATGTATACACATACTTAAAAGTAACAAACAATTTAAACCTTACAATGCATATTTATGTATGTGTGGAGGCCAAAGGTCATCCTCCATTCCTCAGGAACCATCCACCTTGTTTTTTGAGACAAGGTCTCTTGCTGACCTAGAACTAACCAATTAGGCAAGGCTGGCCAGCCAATGAACTCCAGGAATCCACCTGCCTCTGCCTCCGTAGTGCTGAAATTACAAGTGTGCCTTACCACACTAGGGTTTTTTTGTTTGTTTGAAACAGGGTTCTGAGGGACTGAATTCAGGCCCTCATGTTTGCAAGGCAAGTCCATAATCCACTGAGCTAGCACCCTAGCCCACAATGAACATTTTATAAGGAGATGGGGAAGATAGTTGACCCAGTTCAGTCCAGAGGTTCCCATGCTTCTTTGACATGCACAAAAATTTTTCCCAGAGACCTTGAAAGGATGTCAGTGTTCTAAGAGCAGCTTAGGAAGTGCTGACTGTGTGAAGTGCAGGGCTTTGGGATTGAGGCAAAAGGCTGAGTCACTAGCAAGTTACTTGACCTCTCTGGACCCAAGGGAGAATTCTAGAGAAGGAACACAGTGTTCTCAGAGCTATCTGTACAGATTAAAAAAATGACACTAAAGCCAGGCCCTGAGCAGGGTGATTAAACTGATAAGTCTTAAAAGAGGGGAATGATGACCCACCACAGGAACGCTGAAAAAAAAAAAAAAAAAAAACAGTGTGAGAGCAAACTAAGGCCAGTAGGAGCTGCTGGCCCAGTCCACCTTCATCATTGAGATCCGACATGCTGATACACACTTAGAACCCCAGAATCAACATTTGAAGGGATTTCCTGATCCTTTAAGGATAAGTGCAGAGAAGCATTTAAATCATCTGATGAGACTGTCTTGTTTCAGCTCCACAGTGGACACAAGTGTCCTTTCCTGTCTATTTAGGCCCACAGTTTTCAAAGTTCTGCTCCAGTGTTATAACACAGCCTCTGGGTGTAGTGCTCAAACACTGTCTAGCACTCCTAGGCACAGGAAGGTAGTGCTGTCAAGCCCAATGTAAACAAGTCAACAGGAAAATGAAGTACACATAGCACAAGGTTATGTATTGATCAGCTGAGGGCAGCATTATGACTAGTGGCTCTCAGGAAGCAAATTCTGTCCTCCCCTAGGAACACCAGTTCAGTATTCTCTAAATCAGTGTTCACTGGGGCTTTATCAGAACAACCTAGGGAGAGCCAGAAAACAAACGCATTTGGAGTTTCAAGTTTAAGGTGCAGGGTAAAGGGAAAAGAAGAGGGAGAAGACCAAATATTTAGGGCTTAGTAAAAACATTCACGGGATGGTTAAGGTCATGAATATTTTATTTAGTGTAATCATTTCACACTGTATTAAAAAAAATTACAATATGATTTTTAGCTGCCATGTGGGTGCTGGGGAATCGAATCCAGGTCCTCTGCAGGAGCAGCCAGTGCTCTTAACTGCTGAGCCATCTCTCCAGCCCAAGAAACTATAATTTTTAAAGGAAATTCAAGGAATGAGAGAGTATGAAAGACTAAATATTAAACAAAGCTAGGCAAATAAATTATTTTTAATAAAATAGAAGTATAGTTAAAAACTATATGGATCTCAGCTATAAAAAAAGTGTCTATTTTCTTAAGGTAAAATATGACTCTACAATTAAATAAATGCATCCTGCTTTTCTTCAGCAATTCTTTTTTTTTTTTTTGAGACAGGGTCTCCCTGTAGCCCCAGCTGGCCTTGAACTCACAGAGATCCACCTGCCTCTGCCTCCCGAGTGCTCCAGCGCTAGGATTAAAAGTGTGCCACCACGCCCTACACTTCAGCAATTCTTATGAAAGAATCAAACCAGTCAATTACAATAGGCTATTCTTCTGTTTTCAGAAAGGGAAGGAAAAACAATCCTAGGGTCATGTCTCAGGGACAGAGCACATGCTGAGCAGGTACAAGAAACTGGGTTCAGCTCCTACACCAAAAATCACAGTTGTTTCTACTGCAAGAAGCTTCTAACCTTTCCTATCTGATTTTTGTTTTTCAAGACAGGGTCTCATCGTGTTGTACTGGCTGTCCTGGAACTTGCTACGTAGACTAGGCCAGCCTCAAACTCCGAGATTCGAATGCCTGTGCCTCCCAAGTGGAGGTATGCACCACCATACCTGGCTTAACCTTTCCCATCTGAACAAACAATACAATGAAGAGACTCTTACTAAAAAAATACCATTTAACCTGAACATTTTTCTTTACTTTGTTTTTTCCTGTATTTTTTAATTGAATTTTTGCAAATTTCATACAGTGTATTTGATTGAATTTAGATCCTCTTCCCCACCTGTACCCCTGCCCAGTACTCTATATAATAAGGCCTAAAGAGTCAAACTTGTATCCTCTGGTGTGTGAGGGTCCATCTACTAGAGCCTGGTCAACCTACTGAGTCTCACCCTTAAATGAGACTGATTCCCCCTCCCAGCAGCCATAGGCTGCCAACAGTTCCTCAGGTAGGGTTGGGGTTTCTAAGCCATCTCCCCATCAACCTGAACATTTCAGCAATGAAGTGTAACTAATTGCTTATAGAATAAAATTAGCCTCAGACATCCTCCTCCAAGGCTTAACAAGCTGTCACTGGAGTCTAAAAGCAGGCCCAAACTTCTACAAACTTCAGTCAGAATCATAATCACTCAGGAGAGTGCAAGGAAGAATTGGGATAAACTTGGGAGACTGGCAGAGATTCTTCCCTAGGGAGCAATTAAGTCTAAAAAGACCAATGAAAAATGCTCCTGAATTGACACTGTCCCTGGAAACCTTTCTTCCATGAGGGAAAAATACAGAGGAGTTCAATGCATCTACCTCAAACACTCCTGGAGTTCTTACTCAAGTGGCCAAGTTAGATGGTTTGACATCATTGATTTTTCAGTCTTTAAAATTCATTATGTGGACACATCAATATCTTTAAGAAAAAACAAACATATAACGGAAAAATGCAGTGCATGTGTCTTCATCAGTGGCAACATCAAAGAAATACAGCGAGGGGTTGGGGAGAGCTCGGTTGGAAAGTGCGTCCCTTGCAGGCATGAGGACCTGTTTGATCCCAGAACCCATGTAAACACCTGGCATGATGGCATGAGCCTGTAATCCTAGCACTGGGGAGGAATAAACAGGTGGATCCTTGGGGTTAACTGGCCAGCCAGCCTATCCTTTTTGGTGAGTGAGCTCCAGGTCCCAGTGAAAGACTGCCTCATAAAACAAGATGGACAGTTCCTGAGGAATGACACCTGGGGTTGGCCTTTGGCCTATACACGCACACACACGTGCGCGCGCGCGCACACACACACACACACACACATACCCAAATACACAAAAAGTAACACAAATGCCAATGATGGTGGTATATGCCTAAAAGCCCTCTGGAGACAAAGTCAAATGGATCTCTATGAGATCAAGATCAGCCTGAAGGCTGGGACTAGGGAGACCCTGTCAAAAAAACCAAAACAAACTAAGAAAAAACACAAAAGGATCTCAACATAATCTATGGAACACTCTGACAATATTGGTCTACATATAGAAGACTCAGATTCAGTGGCCTTGAACTTATGTAACAGTGAGATCTTTATTGAGAGAATCATGTACATTTTTAGATGACTACCAAGGATTCTACTGCCTCATATCTGTAAGAGAGGGCACTACCATTATCTCCCTTTTAGTAGAACAATAAACAGATAAAATGAATGGATTTGCTTACAATTAAAAAAAATTCATGGTGGAGTCATAGAAAAGACACACCACCGTTTTCAGCAGTCATCAGGGATGCCCGTCATAAACCTTCATGCTAGAATTTAGTCTGAATGCGTAACACTTCCTTCTTTCCTTCATGAGTGGGAGCTGCTTCTTTGATCAGGTATACTCGAAAAATGAACAAAAAACAACCTTTATGATTCATTTCCTCAAGCACGCTTAACAACATAGCATGTTTGGGAAGTAAGATTTATTGCAATAGGTTGTTAAGAGTGGAAATGTGGTTAGTTTTAGTTTGTTGGAAGCAAGACAAAGCTGCCACTCTGAGGAAAGACAAAAAAAGTAGTAACGAATAGACACTATCGATAAGACAAGGCACAGCGATCCGCAGCTGCCTCATACTCTGTGCACAGCAGGCCCTCTCAGAGAGAAGACAGAAGTTATGCCAGTAAGGCTGCATTAGAAGTTGCATATACTACCACCGATATCATTTTTACAGCAAAAGGCTCTATAAAATCCTTCTGGGGTAAAAAGTGCAACACAAAATCTTTACAACAAAATAGCAGTGCTGGCAATCAGGGCCCACAGAAAGACACACAGTAAAAATACAGCATCTGAAACAGTAAGGAGCTCTAGATTGGAGTGTAAGCTTTCAGTAGAAGACACGTCTGCAGCAATTCTTCACCCAAAGCCTGAGAGCTAAAAAGAGACTCACAGTCAGAAACTAAGTGAGTAAAACGTCTAATTTTGCACTAGGTCATAATAATTCGACTCTGGAAGAAGTGCCTTATCTTTACACTACTTATTCTACTTCTTGTTATGATTCATGCTTCTAAGCTGCATCTGTCTCAGAGCTACCTGTAGTACATGGGCTAACGGCAGGCTGTCAAGGATAACCTGGGGTGTCGGCCTCTAGTTAAAATGGGAAGCACACTGCTCAGCTGCCTTACAGTCTTTTTACATTAACCATAAAAAACTGAGTATATGTGATCTTGTATTATCCCTTCTCAAATAAAAGTCATTTTAGGGGAATTCCTTTTAAAAGAGGCTTCCAAACTAGTCCTTTGGGCATTTAAAAAATCTTCATATAAAAAGTCCACTTCTTTAATATGTAAGAACAAGCTTTTTATCCTTTAAAAAAAATCTCACTTCTAAACCAAAATAAATTATAACTTGCAGAAATACCTTCTTTAATGGCTTGGTGCTTATTCTGGGCAGCTGTATTATTTGCACATCTTCAGACAACGCCAAGACAACATAATCCTGGCTGAGGGAATGGGTCAACTTTAAAGTCTTGGAAGTTGAAAGCTGATATTCAGCCTCTGGTCTACAGTCATATAGTGTGTACATATAACAGTCTAGTCGATGACAAAGACAGACAGACACTTCAGAAAACCATTTCAAAACTCAGGGCATAAAAATGTAAAGAAATCAAACACCGAATGTACAATCTATTCCACTTGGCAATGTGTGAATTATGGAGAGATAAAAACTTATCTACTAGTAGAATATAACAAAAGAAGGTACAATGTGAGAAGTGCTCTCAGGTCCAGAGTTCTTCAGTTCTCCCGAATTTGTAGATCAGAGTACTAGAAAGATAAGAGCACAGATGTGAGGGAAAGTGTGAACAAGGAATTCATTTCCGATATAAGCAGTGACAGCTGCTTCACTTTAGATCTTTCTAGCAAGATCTAAAACTAATGAAAGATCACTGGTGTTGCTGTTTGAATGTACTTATTTTGCAAAGTAGATGTACCACAATGTCTGAATGTAAAGTATTCACTCTTAAAATCTAGAAAGCTACTATAAAGAAAATGTGTGCAAAAAAAAGACGTGTCTTATGGTAGTAGGCATGAGGGCCTTACAGCTCTAGGCACCCCCTGACGCTTGGCAGCTACGCTATGATCACTGAAGCAACCTAAACAGACCAAGCTTTAGTTTTTCATCCCCTTAACAGCTAAGTATTTGTTGGCCAGGTGTGGTGGCACACGCCTGTAGTCCCAGCACTTAGGAGGCAGGCGGATCTCTGTGAATTCAAGGCCGGCCTGGTCTACACAGTGAGTTCCAGGACAGCTGGGGCTACAGGGAGACCCTGTTTCAAAAAGACCAAGAACAAACAAAAAAAAAAACCCAAAAATAAAAAAACAAGTATTTGTAAGTTGAATATTTATCAGGCCTCTGGCTAAGTGCTGGGATGCGACTGAATCAAAATGAACACGTATGTTCCCTCATGGAGCTAGGAGTCTAAGAGAGGAAAATGACCACATATACATGTAAAGTCTGATCATAAAAACATACTATGAAGGAGTGGCACATGATATCATAAGAGTGAAATATAAGCAGTGACAGCTGCTTCACTTTAGATCTTTCTAGCAAGATCTAAAACTAATGAAAGATCACTGGTGTTGCTGTTTGAATGTACTTATTTTGCAAAGTAGATGTACCACAATGTCTGAATGTAAAGTATTCACTCTTAAAATCTAGAAAGCTACTATAAAGAAAATGTGTGCAAAAAAAAGACGTGTCTTATGGTAGTAGGCATGAGGGCCTTACAGCTCTAGGCACCCCCTGACGCTTGGCAGCTACGCTATGATCACTGAAGCAACCTAAACAGACCAAGCTTTAGTTTTTCATCCCCTTAACAGCTAAGTATTTGTTGGCCAGGTGTGGTGGCACACGCCTGTAGTCCCAGCACTTAGGAGGCAGGCGGATCTCTGTGAATTCAAGGCCGGCCTGGTCTACACAGTGAGTTCCAGGACAGCTGGGGCTACAGGGAGACCCTGTTTCAAAAAGACCAAGAACAAACAAAAAAAAAAACCCAAAAATAAAAAAACAAGTATTTGTAAGTTGAATATTTATCAGGCCTCTGGCTAAGTGCTGGGATGCGACTGAATCAAAATGAACACGTATGTTCCCTCATGGAGCTAGGAGTCTAAGAGAGGAAAATGACCACATATACATGTAAAGTCTGATCATAAAAACATACTATGAAGGAGTGGCACATGATATCATAAGAGTGAAATATAAGAATCTGACACCTGTAATCCCAGCACTTCAGAGACAGAGGTAGGAAGATCAAGAGCTCAAGGTCATCCTCAACTATACAGTGAATTTGAGGCCAGCCTGGGATACATAAGGCCCTGGCTCCAAAACAAAACAAAACAAAACAAAACAAGGCTGGGCAAGGTGGGGCACCCCTTTAATCCCAGGACTTGGGAGGCAAAGTCAGGTGGATCTCTATGAATTCAAGGTCAGCCTGGCTAGTTCCCAGTCTATATAGTGAGTTCCAGTCCAGCCAATGATAGATAGTGAGGCCCTGTCTCAAAACAACCAAGAAAACAAAACAAAAAAAGTAACAAAATAGAATAGCCAGAACTTCAAACCCAACAAACTGCATGCAAAACAGCAGCAACTAGAGAAAAACAGACTCAAACTGGAGTTTGAATCAATAGAAGAAAACCAAGAAACAGCATAGGCCCTTAGGCAAGGCCACCAGAATAGTTACAAAAATACTTGGAGAAGCCAGATATGGTGGCACATGCCTTTAGTCCCAGCACTCAGGAGGCAGAGGCAGGTGGATCTCTGTGAGTCAAGGACAGCCTGGTCTACATAGTGAGTTCCAGGCCAGCTGGGACTACAGGGAGACTCTGTCTCAAAAAGACTCTCCAAAAAAATTGAGGCTGGAGAGATGGTTCAGTCATTAAGAACAGTGTATGCAGGGTTCAGTGCCCAGTTCCCACATGGCGGTTAGCAATCAGCCTTAACTCTAGTTCCAGGAGATCTGATGCCCTCTTCTGGCCTCTGCAGGCATTGTATGTATGTGGTACACAATACATGCAGGCAAAACACTCATATATATAAAATCTGGGGCTACAGGGAGACCCTGCTTCAAAAAGACAAAAAAAAAAAAAAAAGTCAGTATGAAGAAAACTTAGGCCAGGCATGACACACATGCCTTTAATCCCAGCACTCAGGAGGTAGCAACAGGTGTATCTCTGTGAGATCCAGGCCAGCCTGGTCTACACGGTGAGTTCCAGGAGAGCCAGTGCTGCAAAATGAGATTCTTTCTAAAAAAAAAAAAAAAAAGAAAGAAAAGAAAAAGAAAAGAAGTATGAAGAAAACTAGACCACACACCATAATCCTATTGCTTACAACTGTGGCAACAACAGTTCCTCAGGGTTTAGGTCTCAATGATTCAGTGGGAATAGACTCCTACAGGCAGAGACCCAAAACACCCACGTTCACATTAAGACACAATCATTTGGAAAAATCGAGCACACTGGATTCATTTTAGAGGACTTTTAGAAGATTTCTTCGGAAATATTTTTTAATATTTTTATTATTTCTATTTTTTGTATATGAGTATATTGCCTGCATGTATATAAGTACACCTGTGTTGTGCAATGCCAGAGGAAGACAGAAGACAGCATCAGATTCCCTTGGAACTGGAGTTATGGACAGTTGATAGTTGCCATGTGGGTGCTGGGAATCAAACCTGAGCCCGCTCCAAGAGCTGCTGGTGCTCTTAACCACTGAGCCATCTCCCCCTTAGAAATACTTTTTTGTGTGTGTGCCTGAGTGTATTGCCTGCATGTATGTAAGTGCACCCATGTTGTGCAATGCCTGAGGAGGTCAGAAGATGGCATCGGATCCGCTAGAACTGGCATTATGGTCGGTTGTTAGCTGCCATGTGGGTGCCAGGATTCAAACCTGGGTTCTCTGCAAGACCAGTCAGTGCTCTTAACCACTGAGCCATTTCTCCAGCCCAATAAATACTTCTAATACTATTTTAAAATGCACATGATTTTTTTTTTTTTGAGAGAGAGACAAGGGTCTCTCTATATAGCCCCAGCTGGCCTGGAACTCACTATGTAGACCAGGCTGGCCTTGACCTCACAGATATCCACCTGCCTCAGCCTCCTGAGTGCTGGGACTAAAGGTATCCAATACCATGCCCGGCTTTTTTTCAACTTTTTGAGACAGGGTCTCCCTGTAGCCCCAGCTGGCCACTCATTATATAGACCAGGCTGGCCTTGAACTCACAGAGAACTGCCTCCCCCTGCCTCCCAAGTGCTGGGACTAAAGGCATGCGCCACACCTGACACACGATTTTTTTTTTTAATCAAAGCACAGGCTATGAAAACAACACTTTGGATCTAAATTGCTACTCTGCATTTATTAGCTGAGTATCTTAAGTAAGCTCTAAGCCTTGTTTCCTCATCCATAAAATAAGAATACCACCTGGCGCTGGGTGAGGTGGCGAAGGCCTTTGGTCCCAGCACTAAGAGTACCACTTGACATTTATTTCAGTGTTAAATGGGAACTCAAGGGATGGCACATCAAGCATCCAGCCGCATGAAGTCCTAGCACACTGCAGGACTCCTAAGAAGCCCATCTGTGCTTGCTTTAGAGTGCTCCATAAACATGTTGCTCTTATAATACAGCTGACATTTCTATAAATGGTTTAGGTATGGATAAAAAATGAGGCAACTTGGGCTGGGCCTTGAAGCACATACCTTTAACCCCAGCATTTGGGAGGCAGAGTCAGGCAGATCTCTGTCTGAAGTCAGCCTGGTCTACATAGTGATTTCCAGGCCAGCATGTGCAAGACCTTGTCTCAAAAAAAAAGAAAGAAAAAGAGAGAAAAAAAAGAAAAAGAAAAAGGCATGGTATGGTGGTGGCAAGCCTTTAATCCCAGTACTTGGTAGTTAGTTCCAGGCCAGCTATGGCTACAGGGAGACCCTGTCTTGAAAAGACCAAAAATAAATAAATAAATAAATAAATAAATAAATAAATAAATAAATAAATAACAAAAACAAAACAAAAGGAAGAAAGAAATTAGGCAACTTGGGGCTGAAGATGGCTCAGCAGTTAAGAGAACTTGCTACTCTTGCAAAGGGCTTGGATCTGTGCCCAGCCCTACATGGGTTAGTGCAAGAATTGTAACTGCAGTTTCAGGAGCTCTGACACCCTCTTCTGGCCTCTGCAGGTACCACACTGGCACTCATGTGGTGCACAAATGCAGGCACACACACACACATATATACATGAAATAAAAATATTTTTTTTTAAATTGGGTAACTTACCTAAAAAATATAAGAGCATTTTGGAAAAACACAGCTAGTCCTGGATAAACATCTGTATCTGCAAATACAAAGTGAAATCAATCAGAGGATTACAAAGCCAAAAGGCAGCAAACACTATGCCATTCAGAAACAACACACTCCTAGTATGAGAACACAGGACTTCTATGAACTGACTCTATGACGTGAAACAAATAGGAAAAGGCAATTCGGTTCTCCAAAGCCAAAGGCTGCTTTCACTCTGGTAAAAGTCGAAAGCATCTCAGTTTCTCTGACTCCTACAGCCCAGGCTACAACAAAATTGCTGAGACTGGGAACTTACAATGCAGTACTTAAGAGGCTGAAGCAGAAGGTCACTTCAGTCCAGCAATCTGAGGCCAGCCTGCATGACAGTGAGACACTGGTGCAAAATGAAAGTGCCAAGGAAGCAGCCGCCTGCCCCTTCTTCGCCTCCCGCCTGCCCCTTCGCCTCCCGAGGCCAGTGCAGAAACAAAAGGATATTAATTACAATCTTGATTATTTAAGTTTGCTGACTTAGTCCCTTTCACGAATTCATGAGTTACACTGCACAAAATATGAGAAATACAAAAGGAATCATGGTGTTCTTTTACTTACTGGAAGAATCAACCAGTTAATATCTTCCCAACAAGAGACAACAGGAAAAAAAAAAAAAAAAAAAAAGAGAAACTACTACTTAAAGCTTTGTGACTAGCCAGGTGTAGTGGTGCACACCTTTAATCCCAGCACTCTGAAGGCAGAGGCACATGGATCTCTGCAAGTTCTAGGCCAGCTGGAGCTACAGGGAGACCCAGTTTCAAAAAGACAAAAAAACAACAAAAAACTTTGTGAATAATTGAGCTTTGTAAAACTGTTGATTTAAAGAACACTGGACATGAGCATGGCATGATGGTGCATGCCTTTAGTCCCAGCACTTAGGATGCAGAGGCAGGCGGATCTCTCTGAGTTCAAGGCCAGCCTGGTTACCTCCATAGTGAGTTCTAGGCCAGCTGGGGCTACAGGGAGACCTTGTCTCAAAAGAGACAAAAACAAAAAAACAAAAAAAAACACTGGACATGACAAAGAAACTGGTTTAAATTTTGAGCTTTGTAGGTCATGGCAAAAAACAAAAACAAACATCAGAGCAGCTGGTTAGGAGCTCCAAGTTTGAGCCAAGCTCTTAATTTGATTCTTCATTCTGTTTCTGACTTAAATGTATGGCCTTGAGCAAGTTACTGAATCTCGGTGTATCTTAACTATCTCATTTGTCAAATGAGCATTGTAATAGCACCAACCCCAGAGAGAATGACACCAAATAAAGTTTAGAATGGTACTTTGACCATTCAATGATACAAGACACACATGCCTTTTCATAGATATTTTGCATATATGTGGGAGGGGGTGCATACCATGTGTGGGGTGTGTTTGCTCACACCATGTGTGGGGTGCCTACGAAAGCTGAAAGAAGGTATGGGATCCCCTGGAGCTGAAGTTATACACAGTTATGAGCCATCTGAAATGGGTGCTGGGAATCAAACGTGAGTCTTAACCACTGAACCATTCGTTTAGTAACAGGATGCAATACCTTACCTAAAATGCTTGGGACTAGATTTCATAGTTTTTCTAACTTGGAATATTTGCATATGTGAAAGGAGATGTCTTGTAAATAGGACCCAAATCTAAACATGAAGTTCAGTTGTATTTCATATACACCTCCTATACACAGCTTGAAAGTGATGGTATACAATGTTCTTAGCATGCCTGTTTTGACTGTAGAACAGAGGTACAAGAGGAATCAAGGTGTGATTAAAGACACTCGATGCAGAGGTAAGTGTGGCCGCTACTGTAGATATTAATAGTTCAAGAAAATCGATAAAATCGAAGATTTGAAATATGTCAGAGATGGTCCCCAAAAGCATATTCACATTCTAAGTATATTCACTTTCTCAATTTGTACTAGTTTTTAAAAATATTTTATTACTTTTATGTGTATGAGTGTATTGCCTCGATGTATGTAAATACACCCATGTCATTCATGCAATGCCCACAGAAATCAGAAGAGGGCATCGGATCCCCTGAAACTGGAGTGATGGATGGTTGTTAGTTGCCCTGTTGATGCTGGGAACTGAACCCAAGTCCTCTTCAAGAACAACCAGTGCTCTTAACTGCTAAGCCATCTCTCCAGGCCCCTGTACTAGTTTTTAAAGATTAAGATACAGTGAGTGACCATTTACCCTTTACAATGTTTCCCGACACATCATAGGAATGATAACTTATTCCCATTTTCAGTTTAGGAACTGGAAAAGTTTCATGTGTTCCGCAAATAAAATAAGGAGAAAGTCTAAGACTGTCTTTATGCCTTTGAGTTCCACCAAAACCTAACAGTATGTAAACAAACTGAAAACTAACTGAGGAACATATTTTTGTAACAAATAGGTGGCTTTCAGGCAATCGTAGAAGTCAACCAATCAGACCAGGTGCACAAAACACATATGCCTCATCCTCTATGCCCAAGTGAGGCAAATTCCAGCTGCATCTTCTGTGTTTGGTCTGTAAAAGCTCCTGCACAGGATGCAATTCTCTGAACCTAATTGGTTTGAGTGCTGCCCAATTCATCCATGGTTCTTTACTCCAATAAACTTAAATTTTCTAAAGTTTTCTTTCAATATGACAGTACAGACCTTTGAACAAAATCAGTGACAGCAACTCTCCCTTCTTGGGGTCAGGGACAATGTAAAGTTAAAATACACCTCCCTCTGTGATTCCATTTATATGAAACGGACAGCTATAGAGGCAGAAAGTATTCCGCAATTGGCCTGAGCCAAGGAGGAAGAGGGAGAGATCCCCTAAATGGGTGGGAGAAAATTTTTTACTGTTTTTCTTGAGACAGGGTCTCATTATGTAGCCCAGGCTGCCCTCAAACTCATGGTCCTCCTGCCTCAGCCTCTCCAGTGGTAGGATCACAGGCTTGATCCACCATTTCTGGCCTAGGGCCTTTCTTCTGATAGGCATTATATCTGACCTAGCATTTTCTTCCTGGCAGGTATTATTTTAGAACTACACGCTCTATTAGTATTTGGTGTTTTTAATGGTGGTGTAATCTATCCTTCTGTTGGTATTTCTTTTTTGTTGTGGTTGTTTTGGGGGGCTTTTTTTTTTTTTGGTCTTTTTGAGACAGGGTCTCCTTGTAGCCCCAGCTATCCTGGAACTCACTGTGTAGACCAGGCTGGCCTTGAACTCACAGAGATCCGCCTGCCTCTGCCTCCCAAGTGCTGGGATTAAAGGTGTGCGCCACCACGCCCGGCTTCTGTTGGTATTTCTAATCACTTAATACATTTTATATAGATTGGGTGAGCAATGCTATTTAAACATTAGTCAACCACTGTGCTCTTGAATTCTCAATTGTTTTGTCTCAAAGGAAAAGACAAAGCTATCCCAAAGATCTTATACTGATCAAAGTAGGTGATCCTGTCAATGTTTCTAAAAAGACAGCTGTGGGAACTAGGTGTGGTAAGTGGTAATATGTGCTTGTAACCCCAGCACTTGGGAGGCTGAAGTAGGAGGATAGCAAGTTATAGTTCAGCTTGAGCTATATAACGAAGTCCAAGCCAGTCTGGACTAACAACCAGACACTGGGTCAGGACAAAGAATTGTGACAGTGAAGTGAAGAAGATGACAAGGTACTGCAGAGGAAGAGGGGTCAGAGGATGAGGGCATTCTGCATCCTGAAACCAGTTCCCATCTTTGGAATGAGGGAGAAAGCCCATGAGACAGGGTCTTCCTATGGTTCCAGAGACAATACTGAGGTTGGGGTTTGCTTTTCCACCTCAGCCAGGATCAAAAGCTGTGGGCACCCGATTACTACAGAGAGAACACAGAATGTCACAGTGTGGGCACATCACTGTAACATCAAGGGTCCTGCCTTTAAAAAAAATGACTGCACGCCTTTAATCTCAGCACTGTGGAGGCAGAGGCAGGCTGATCTCTGTGAGATCAAGGCCAGCCTGGTCTATATAGGGAAGTCCAGGCAAACCAGAGTTACATAGTGGACCCCGTCTGAAAAGACAAAAACAAAACAACAACAAAAAACTCCCGCTTGGAGGAAAGACTGAAAAATTATAGGCTAGGCTTGGAGAAGTGTCAGCACTGAAAGATACTGGGGTCCAGAACCCATATCTGAAATACTTGGGGAAGACATGCTTTGGAATTCTGAATTTTTTAGAATTAAGAACAGTACCACAAACATATATATCCACATAGCATTCCCCAAATGGGTCTGGAGCAGCATTCTACATCCAAATACACTTAATTCAAAATCATTCCTGCAATACAACTTTTTTTTTTTTTTGACAAGTCTCATTATGAGGCACTGATTGGCCTAGAACTCACTATGTAGCCCAAGATGGTCTTGAATTCACTGTCTGCCTCTGCCTCCCAAGTGCTGGGATAAAAGGTGTACAGCACTACTCCCAGCAATCAAACATTAAGAGTAAATGAGATGAGTCCATAATGAGACTTCTGGCAGTTCAAGTCAGGATTGGCTGTAAAACTGGTTAGGAAATCCGTGATTTTCAGTGTATGAGAATTTTGGATGTATATAAGGGGCTATGCACCTATATTGGTTTCTCACTTTGTCACTGACACCCCAAGATGTGGACCTCTAGCAGAACAGCTTAACAACCCTCGGGAAGGCAATCAGAGCCGCCAGAGATGGCTGCCACATTCAGGTTTGGGACTGGGATTTCCTAAGTGGGCCATCCCATGCACAATGACAGGTTTTATTAACTCGCAGATGTTCACAGAGAGGAACAACTTTAAACAATTCAGTAAATACACAAAGTTTCCTCCAGATGGACCTGACAGACTAAGCCAAACATAAGTCATCTGAATCCTCTGTGAAATAAAGGTGGAACATACACTTACTTTGAGTAACATATGCACCAAAAAGAATCCACATGGAAGCAATGAGTGACCCGAACATCAGCATGAAACCAATGAAGAGCCAGACACGAGCACCTGTGGGAATGAGAGGCGAGGCTTTACGACTTTGATCACTTTTTAGGTCTGTCTTAGGAACAGGTAGCACTACACACAGCTAACTTAGTGCATATTATCTATATAAACCTGATATAACATTTAATATATGAAGATTTAAACACACATACATGCAAAAATGTTTAAAACCTAAAATGGGTTAAGCAACATGGAAAAGGAAAAAGAAAAGTTACCTCTTCAGTGGCTAGAGAAACAAATCTGAGTGAATGAGGCAAACTTCATCAGCAACTATTTCACTAGACCCTAAGAAAAAGGTAACCTGCCGGTTATAGTATCAAATAATTGCTCTGTAAGAATCAGTAAAGGTGCTTCAGACAGCATCTCTAGGTAGAAATGAGATCCTTCTGATCAGCATGACCCTCTGAATCAGAGAAGACCCCTACTATCACACCATTACTCCATACTGTACAAACAACAGCTGTTCTTTAGAAACTCAGATATTTTTCCTATGGTTAAGGCAGCAAATCTAGCCAGGTGTGATGGGCATGCCTTTAGTCCCAATACGAAGGCAGAGGCAGGTAGATCTCTGTGAGATCCAGGCCAGCCTAGTCTACATAGCTAGTTCCAGGTCAGCTGAGGTTACAGGGAGATCAGGTCTCAAAACACCAAGCACAAAAGCAGTCACCCTGTACAACATACCCTTGAAAAGTTCAAGGTCACAGGTATCTCTTCAACTCTGGATTACTAGAATTCTAGGACCTCAGTGACAATCCTCTGGACATATCAGTAGATTCAACACATTTTTATGAAAGCGGGTATGATGGTTAACCTTTGACTGTCAACTTGATGAAATTGACAATCATCATAGAAACAAATCTGGGTATATCTGTGAGGGAGTTTCAAAACTAGGTTAACTGAGGAGGGAAGACGCACCCTAAATATGGGTGGTGCTATTCTATGGGCTAGGGTCCTGTACTAAATAAAAAAGAGAAAGTAGGCTGGGGAAATGGTATAGTTATAAAGTGCTGCACAAGCAAGAGTTCAAATCTCCAACACTTAAGTACTGATAAAAAGTTGAGTTCAATGATGGCCCATGTCTGTATGCCCAGCACTGGGTGGCATGGAAATGGGCAGATCTCTGGGGCTCAGTACCCAGTCAAATTGGTGAACTCCAGATTCAGTGAAAGACCCCGTATCAGAAAATAGGGTGGAAGCTGGGCATGGTGGCACAGGCCTTTAATCTCAGTACTCAGGAGCCAGAGGCAGGCAGATCTCTGAGTTCAAGGTCAGCCTGGTCTACACAGCAAGTTGTAGGCCAGCCAGTGCTATGTGGTGAGGCCCCATCTCAAAAATTAAAATAAAGTGGAAAACTACTGAGGAGGACACTACATACGTGCAAATCCCACAGAACATCACACACACACACACACACACACACACACACACACACACATATATATATATTTTTTTTTATATATATATATATATCTCAAACACATACACACAAGATACACACACTCATACCACAAAAAGGAAAAAGCAAGCTGACCACCAGCATTCATGCCTCTGCTTCCTGACTGTGAACCTAATGAGGTCAGCTGCCTCAAGCTCCACCACCATGACTTCCCTACCAAATGGACCACCCCTCAAACTGTAAGCCCAAATAAATCCTTTCTCTTTTAAATTGCTTTTGTTGGGTATTCTGTTGCAGCAATAAGGAAAGGACTAACACAGTAAGTTAACACTTGTGCAGACTCTACTCACCAGTGTACCGACAGAGCCCATCACCCTACAGAAAAGGACAAAGTTCTGTTGCTGTGACAATAAAAACCTAACCAACTGACCTTAGCAACAGATACTAATGAACAGAGAAACATGTATTTCAGAGAGTGATATGTAGGAGGCACTCAAAGAACAGCTGATATTGGAGGGAAACATCTAGATCTAAACAATCTAAATTTTACTACAATACTAAGTGGCAGATCTCTAGAAATACAGTCATATTTTCACTGCTTGAAGAAATACAGTTGCTAAACTATATCCAGTAACAGCTTTTATCTGAAGAAAAATATTAAAAAAAAAAAACTATTAAAAATCCTTGTAATTTGAGATGGTGTGTAACTCAGTTGTCTAGCACACACAGAGCCTTGGGTTCAATCCCCAGTATGTATAAACTGGGTGTGGTAGCAATCCAAGCACTAGGGAGACAAAGGAAGGAGAAGCTAGTCTGGACTACATGAAACCTTGTCATGTAGGAAGGGGAAAAATACTTACACTGTCCTTGCTCAAAGAAACAACCCCTCAGCCATACACAGGCAGCCCTGGTTAAATGCAGTCTGCCACAAAGAACAAGACAGGCATGGAAGTTGAAGGAGGGCTTGCAGGTCAGTGGGAAGGGGAGGAAGTAAGAGAGGATTGGAGGAGTGTGGTCAAGTACACTATACGTATGAATGTGGGAAAGAATTTTAGAAAGCATATATTCCAGGAAGTTTTTATTGATATTAAAGTTATATATTCTCATGAAATTAAAAAAAAAAAATCTGTGTGTGCTTGTGACAGCATGCAGAAGATCTGTGCAAGCTCAAGCCAGACAAAACCCCAAAATGGAGGGGGGAGGGCACCAGAAACCTCAGCCCCAGCTGAGGAACCACTGGCAACTGATAGCAGCTGGAAAAAGCAGAGTCAGTTTTCTTTAAGGGTAGATACACACCCAACTGCATTTGGGGAAGACAAGAAAAAGAGGGCATAAAGTGAGGGGGTAGGGAGATGGGAGCGGGTCTGAGAGGAGTGGGGGCAGAGTCTAAATATGACCAAAATACAATGTATGAAATTCTCAAAGAATCAATAAAAATACTATTTTAAAAAATCCTTGTAGCTGGACATGGTGGCACACACCTTTAATCCCACAGAACTCTGGAAGCAGAGGCAGGCAGATGTCTGTGAGATCAACGACAGCCTGGTCAACTTCCAGGCCAGCTGGGGCTACAGGGAGGCCCTGTCTCAAAAAGACCAAAACAAAAATAGCAACAAAAAAATACAATGTACAAAAGTAGTATTTATTTAAATCCTTGTAATTATTTATTATATCATTTACATATGGCCATACATTTTAAACTTTCTAATAAAATTAAACAAGAAAAAATTTTCTCTTGAAAACTGAGTATTTTTGCTTAAGAAAAAAATTACAACAGGGCTGGAGGGGTGGCTCAGAGGTTAAGAGGCTATTCTTGCAGAGGACCTGGGTTCAATCCTTAGTATACATATGGTGGCTAACAACTATCCATAACTCCAGGTCCAGGAGATCTGATGCCCTCTTCTGATCTCCATGGGCACTGCATGTCACAAGTGCACTTAACATACAAGCAGGCAATACATTCATACACATTAAGTAAAAATAATAATTTTTTTTTTCTGTCTTTTTGAAGCAGGGTCTCCCTGTAGCCCCAGCTGTCCAGGAACTCACTATGTAGACCAGACTGGCATTGAACTCTCAGAGATCCGCCTGCCTCTGCTTCCCAAGTGTTGGGACTATTGGCGTGCATCACCATGCCTGGCTTAAAATATTTTTTTAAAAAATTACAAGTTGGCCAGGCATGGTGGCGCACGCCTTTAGTCCCAGCACTTGGGAGGCAGAGGCAGGTAGATCTCTGTGTTCAAGGCCAGCCTGGTCTACATAGTGAGTTCAGGCCAGTTGGGACTACAGAGAGACCCTGTCTCAAAAAGACAAAAAAAAATTACAAGTTTACCGGCCAGGCATGGTGGCGCATGCCTTTAGTCCCAGCACTGGGGAGGCAGAGGTAGGTGGATCTCTGTGAGTTCCAGGCCAGCCTGGTCTACATAGTGAGTTCCAGGACAGCTGGGGCTACAGGGAGAAAAAAGACCAAAACAAAATTACAAGTTTATCATTTTTGCTTTGGTTATCAGGAAACTCAGTTAAATTTAGCCTGGTGTGATGGCTTAATCCTAACACTCATTAAGCAGAGGCAGGAGGACCTCTGTAGGTTTGAGACCAACCTGGTCTGCATAGTGGGTTTCAGGCCAGCCAGTACATAGTAAGACCCTGACACACACACACACACACAAAAAAAAGTTAATGAGCAACTAAGAGCATCTGTCTTCTCCCAGAGTCTATGTGCAATAATTTTTCCACCTAGTTCCTACTCCTTTTTATAGCTTCATTATTTAACAGTCCATTTACAGTGTATTTTACCATGTCAATTCTCTTGGGGAGAGGGTGAAGGGTGGAAAAGGTTTTGCTAGGTAGCTCAGGCTGGCTTGGGTACTCCCATTCTTCTTACTCCTAATAGTTCTGTGTCACAGCACTCAGCTTCTTTCAATAGGTTCCTACACATTCCTCTGGGAATTAAATGGAGCTACTCTACAGATAAGCCCTTTGAGGCCTACAGAAGCTCAGCAGAGCCGTGCCGGAGCTGGGCTATAGGACCATTCAGCTTTCATTTTTTGAAGGCCCAGACAAAAAGAACTCTATGTACCACAAATAAGCAGGTGTCAATTTTAACTAGGTAGGGCATACTCTTGGAATAGAATGTAACAATCCCGGAGTGGGTTTGGGAACCAGATAGACCAGTGGCAAATATAAATTTATCCTTACTTTCTATAAAAAATAGCTAATAGTAACAATCCATAACAATGTAGAATATTCTTTAACAAAAAAAATAACCAAACTTTAACTTGGTAACACCTATTTTCTGAGCCATCTCTCCAGCCCCTATTTTCTTATTCTTTACCCTTCCTCATTCTTGGAGTCCCCAGAACCCACAGTGGAACTGAACCGACTCCCAAGTTGTTCTCTGTCCTGTACCTGAACACCATAGCATGTGCACACCCACATAACCCCCCACTCTCGCACACACATGTGCACACACACATACACAACTATACTAAATTTTTTGGGGGGTCTTTTTGAGACAGGGTCTCCCTGTAGCTCCAGCTGTCCTAGAACTCACTATGTAGACCAGGCTGGCCTTGAACTCACAGAGATCTGCCAGCCTCTGCCTCCCGAGTGCTGGGATTAAAGGCATGCATCACCATGCCCTGGCTTACGCTACAATTTTTTAAAAATCATTAAAATTCTTCTACTGGACATTATAAATTAGTTACTATTACTTATATTCAATTATACTCAATCAAACTGACAAAAAGAATAGATACTGCATGGCACTAAATCAAAGGGACCAAATAGCATTAGCCAGTGACTAAAAGCCTGGGTGCTGGAGGCAGACCACCAGTGTGCAATGCTAGCTCCACACAATTCTGTGACTTTGGAGAAGCCTTTTCTTTAACTTAATTTTTATTTTTTGAGAATTTCACACATGAATACTGTATTTACATCATTTCTATCCCTCCCACTTCCCCTCCATTCCTCCCATGTGTTCCCTACTCCCTTTCAATTTCTTGACCTCTTCAATTACTATTGTTACATATACATACACACATTTAAAAATACACATATATGGCCGGGATGGTGGTGCACACCTTTAATCCCAACACTTGGGAGGCAGAGGCAAGCGGACCTTTGTGAGTTCGAGGCCAGCTTGGTCTACATAGTGAGTTCCAGGACAGTTGGGCTACAGGGAGAACCTGTCTAAAAAAAAAAAAAAAAGAGAAAAACTGGTATATATATATATATACACACACACACACACACACACACACACACACATATGTGCAGTGAGTCTAGTGGTGCTCATGTGTGCATGTTTAGGGTTGACCACTTAGGGTCAGATGCCCTCTCAGGGAGTTGGCCCTGGAGAACACTAATTCTCCCTCCCTCAGCATACACTGATTGTCTATCTCTTCATCTACAGGTGGGGCCTGGTGTCATTTCCCCCATTCACATCGGCATGTCAACTGGTTCTGTCATAATGCAGGTCATAATGCAAGCATATTATATGGAGATTTTGTGGGTACAGCCTCCCTATCATTTCTAGAATTTATTATCTAGCAGCAGGATTCCTGTTCCTCTGGCTCTTGAAAACTTTCTGCCCTCTCCCTGAGCCTTAGATGTAGGGGTTGCATTTTAGATGTATCAATTGGAGCTAGACATCTCACAGTCACTCACTGTATGCATTTTGATCAGTTGTGGAACTTTATAATACTCACCATAAGAGCTTCTTTAAGTGGTAAGAGCTACACTTGGACAAGTCAATTCATATTCTCCATGCCTTAGCTCCTTCATCTAAAACTGAGGGCTTAAGACCACTGCTTTGCCAGGGATGGTAGTGTGTGGGGACCTAGATGGCCCTGCAAAAATGGCGCCGAGAGGAAGTAAGCAAGGCATGGCCTGACTTGTCCTGAAGTCCTGAAGATCATCAGATTGGATGCCGGTCCTTCCGCACCCCTGGGCGGCGCGTGTTCAGCATGTGATCATCGTTGATGCCTATGGGACCCTGCCCATGTGGCAGGTTGACCTTTAAGCTGATTGGGTGTGTTCGGGGGAGGGGGTTTCCGAGGGGATTTCCAGACTGCAGTTTTTGCCTATATAAGCTCTGTGACACCTGCAATAAACAAGTTCCTGCTTGACAAGACTCCCTGTCGTGTCTGATTGTCCTCGGTGAGGAGGGCTGGTGAAACAGCGCACTCACCTTTCCCTGACCCTTATCACGGCAGATCCCTCCGGGGAGGGACCTTGGGGCAGACCCCCCGCAGTAGCGCATGCCTTTAATCCCAGCACTCAGGAGGTAGAGGCAGGCAGATCTCTGTGAGTTCAAGGCCAGCCTGGTCTACATAGTGAGAAAAAAAAAAAAAAGAAAGAAAAATGCCCTTGTGGCTGGAAAGGTGGCACAGCGGTTAAGAGCACCGGTTACTCTTATAGAAGACCTGGGTTCAGTTCCCAGCATTCACATGGCAGCTAACTACCAACCATAACTCCAGTTCCAGGCAATGTGATGCCCTCTTATGGCCTCTACAAGCATTGCATGACATGGGTGCACTTATACACACGCAGGCAAAACACTCATACACATAAAATAAATAAATAAATAATTTTAGATATATATTTATATTCATATTCTCAGATCTGAATACAGGATCACAAGGAGGTTTCATTTTACTACTGATCACTTCTTATTCTGCCAACATCCATTAAAGTTCCAAGTGCCTTTACCTGTTCTTCCTAAGCAGCCGCTCTCATAGCTGTCACCCCTCACCTGGGCGTTGGATACAGCATTTATCCTAGAATGATACAAAATCAGCCAATGAGCTTTCCTCACTAAAGCCAGTATTTAAATAGCTAAGTCTTTTAATTAAACAGAAATCCTAGTGGGTAGAAATAATACATTAGTTTTCCCCTAAAGTACATCTAGAAAACACACTTAAGAGATTATCACTTGTCCCAGAGACTATGAAAAAGCAACTATTTTTTCATTTCCTTACCTATTTTATTCATTTATACATAAATGACTCAATGTTAATTATTCCATTTTAAGGTTTTCATTAAAGAGGAGCTGGGGTATTGTTTACTGTCAAAGTACATGCTTTCTACATGCTAGTAAGAGAAAGAGACAGGGAAAGAGAAAAAGGAAGAGAGACAGAGAAAGAACAACTTCATTTTAAGAGTCAAGTGAATTTTTGCTGGGGGTCTAACTCAGTTGGTAGAGTGCTTGCTAGCACACAGCAGCCCTGGGTTCAAATCCCCGATACAGGGGAGAAAAACTTCATGACAAAAGTTAAGAAATTTTCTCTGATCACTTCTTTTTTATTTTATTTTATGTGTATGTGTGTATTGCCTGCATGTAGGTAAGTGCACCCGTGTCGTGCAATGCCTGCAGAGGTCAGAAGAGGCTGTTGGATCCCCTGGGACTGGAGTTAAGGGCAGCTGTTAGCTGCCATGTAGGTGCTGGGAAGAAACTTTCTCTGATCACTTCTTAAACCCTGAAAATTAGTCGACATATAACAAGCCTACTATGCTGAGCTTCTTTTATTCTGTGAGAGCAAGGTGTGTTAACCAACAAAAAGAACTGCCTGTTCTTAGTAGCCTGAATGGATGCTACAGTTTTGCTGTTCATAATATAACCTTTCTTTAAAATTCCTGACAGCATAAGAAAATTACTTTTTTTTTTTTTTTTTTTTTGGTCTTTTTGAGATAGGGTCTCCCTGTAGCCCCAGCTGTCCTGGGACTCACTATGTAGACCAGGCTGGCCTTGAACTCACAGAGATCTGCCTGCCTCTGCCTCCCAAGTGCTGGGATTAAAGGCATGTGCCACTGTGTCCAGCAAATTATATAATCTTAATGTGTAATATTTTTTTAATTGTTAAAAGACATCCATAAATTGGGCATGGTGGCGCACATCTTTAATCCCAGCACTTGAGAGGCAGAGGCAAGAGGATCTCTGTGAGTTCCAGGCCAACTGGGGCTACGGGGATACCCTGTCTCAAAAAGACAAAGACATCCATGAAAAACTTCTAAATATTTTGTGAATTGGAATATTTTATAAACCTTAAAATGATTTAATTAAAAGAAAAAAAAGCCAGACTAATTCCATTTGAGGCCAACCCTATCCTCTACCGAAATATATAGTCCATAAAATCTAAGATGTTATTGACTTTATTATAAGATGGACTGATATTTTTTAATTCTACCAAGATTTAAATCTAGGGCTAAGATACCACTGACTGTAAGATTCAGCCTGCTGTTAAAACATTAAAATGGGAAAAAGTATACTTTTGGAACTAACAAATATGTTAATTCACCAGTTTAGTTTATCAAATACACGGACTGAAAAAGTCCATGGTAATCTTTACTCCTGCTAGAAAATTTGACTAAATTCAACATTCATTCTTAGCTATAAAAGAAATAATTTGGGGGATCTGGAGAGATAGTGCAGAGGTTAAAAACACTTGACTATTCTTGCAGAAGACCCAGGTTCGAATCCCAGCACCCACATGGAACCTAACAACTGTCTGTAACTCCAGTTCCAGGGGATCCAACAGCCTCTTCTGTCCTCTGTGGACACTGCACGACATGGGTTCACTTACCTACATGCAGGCAATATACACACACATAAAATAAAAATAATAAATAAAATATTTTTTAAAAAAAGAGAGAAAATTTTAAACAGTCAAGATGAGATGGCTCAGCAGATAAAGGTGCTTGCTGGGCAAGCCCAGCTCCCTAAGTTCAATCCCTGGAACCCACATGAAGATGGAAGGACAACCAACTCCATAAAGTTGTCTTCTGACCACCACACACACACCGTGTCATGTGCACATATATATACATACACAGTAATAATGAATTTTAAAAAAAAAAGAATATTAAAAGGAAAACAAATTCATCATGTTAAAAAAATCCATCAATGAAATTCAGTCATTCAAAAAATCATTAAACATTATAGAAAACTATTTTTTTCCAAAAACAATCCTGAATTAAGAATTTCCTCCATACTTACATGAAGAAAGCCAACGTGGAGAACACACCACACGTGTGAAAAGCATGGTTCAACTGCTCAGGCTTAGGATAAACCACTGCTGCATCAATCATTATCCACCAACCTGTAAAAAACTTTATAGAGCCCACAATGGCAGGAATATTAAACTCTTGCTTAGAAAAGCACTTGCTCTTTAATAAGCACCCTCCCATCACATATGAAACAAAATACTTCTACTTTTATGTTTTGGACATTAGAACATAAAAATAAGGCAGAGACAGGCAGATCTCTGTGAGGTCAAGGTCAGCCTGGTCTACATACTGAATTCTAAGCCAGCTGGGGCTACAGAGAGTCCGTGTCTCAAAAAGACCAAAAAAATCCTTTGTTTAAGGCTAAAGAGAGAGCTCATTGGTTAAGACAACTTGCTGCTCTTCTGGAATGAGTTCAGCTCCCAGCACCCACATCAGCCTGCTCACAACTGCCTATAACTCCAGCTCCAGGGACACAGCCCCAAAAGCTACTGCACACATGTGGCACTCTCTCTCTCTCTCTCTCTCTCTCTCTCTCTCTCTCTCTCTCTCTGTCACACACACACACAGGCACACAGACACACAGACACATTCACACGTTTTTTTATCTTGCATTTAATAAACTGATAAATTAACATATTTGTCAGTCCCAAAAACTATACTTTTTCCCATTTTAATATCTTAATAGCAGGCTGAATCTTACAGTCAGCGGTAACTTAAGAGTTACAACATTTTTTCTGTCTTGGCAGTATTAATAAATTATCTTTTAAAAATTCCTTAAACTAAAAGAACCTTTGTTTATTTGTTCTTCATAACAGAAGAGATGAACATGTCTTTCAAATCTGAGTAAGATTCCAAAGTTCCTTGGGAACTTTATTTCCTGCTTCAATCCAGCAACATTACCCACAGCAACAGCTCCCCTTAATTGAATAATACAGAGAACTCTGAGTATCTGACAGGTTTTTTTTCTCTCTGAATATCTCCAAGCAGGTCAGGCATGGTGGCACTCACCTTTAATTTCAGCACTCAGGAGGCAGAGGCAGGTGGATCTCTGTGAGTCCAGCTTGGTCTACATAGTGACACCCTACCTGAAAAAACAAAACAAACAACAATGGCAAAAAGCCCAGTGAACGTCGCACAAATGAGCTGTTTGCTTACCTAAAACCACATCTCCAAAACCAGAAAGCTGATATTGTTTTAGCTATTTACGTAATTTGAGTACTGTGTGACTGACTGATCATGAGTGTATAAAATGTAGTTTCCATGTCAACCAAGATGAACAGACTGAAAGTAGAAAAGGCGCTAAAGAATTTCCCAGTCAACTTAAATACAGGTGTGAGAACTCTTTTCGAAACTGACAGAATAATTACATAATCTTAATATTTATGATAGTTCACAATTTACTTTAAAATGTCTATGAAAAGCTTCCAAACTGTTTTATGAAGTGAAATAACTGATAAACCTGAAAATTAATAAAAAAGAAAAGCAACAGATCACCAATGTTATTTGAGGCCTATCCTGCCTTTTCCCTAAATATTAATAAACACAAAGAGCATTTTAGCAAAAAAGGATGATGAAAAGGGAAGAGAGAGCTGGGAATGTATCTCAGTGGGTAGATTGCTTGCCTACCATGCATCAGGCCTTTGTCTAACCCTTAGCACTGCCTAATCCATGGTAGTGCATGCCTGTCACCCCAGCACTCAGGAGGTGGAGACAGTAGGATCAGAAGTTCAAGGTCATCCTTGGCTACATAGGAAGTTTAAAGCCAATCTAGAATACACAAAATCTTGTCTCAACACACACGCACTCACTCACGCAAGCGCACACGCACGCAAGCACACAAAAAAATAGGGCCAGCAACATGTCTCAGCTGGTAAAGTGCCTGCTTCTAAATGTGATAACCTAAGTTTGATCCCTGGGACCCAAATGATGGAAGGAGAGAATCAACTTCCGAAAGTTGTCCTCTGACCTCCATATGCACACACACACACCCATATACATACACAAAATAAATAAAAATGTGTTAAAAATGTCTAACAAAAAGAAAAAAAAAACTAGACATGATGGCTCATAACTATAACCCTAGCACTAGGGAGGATTGCTTCCAGTTCAAGGTCAACCCAAGCTTTGTGCTGAGTTCTATACCAGTCAGGGCTAAAGTGAGATCTTGTCTCAAAAAAAGGATACCGGATGTGGTAGCACACGTCTTTAGTCCCAGCACTTGGGAGGCAGAGGCAGACAAGTCTCTGTGAGTTCAAGGCCAGCCTGGTCTACATAGCAAGTTCTAGGCCAGCTGAGGCTACAGGAAGTCCCTGTCTCAAAAAGAGCCCCCCCCCCCCCCCAAATAAGGGCAGGCCAGGCATGATGGCATGAGCCTTTAATCCCAATACCTGGGGAACTCTGTGACCTGTGAGATGGAGGTCTAAGGAGTTCCAGGTTAGCTGGGGCTACTGGGAAAACCTGTCTCAACAAAACAAAACAAAACAAAACAAAACAAACAAAACAAAACAATACACAGCTGCTGCCCATAATAAATGTATCACTAGCTGGGCGTGGTTGCTAGCTGGGCGTGGTTGCTCATGCCTTTAATCCCAGCATATGGGAGGCATAGGTAGGTGGATCTCTGAGTTCAAGGCCAACCTGGTCTATATAGTAACTTCCAGGCCACCTGGGGCTACAGGGAGACCCTGTCACAAAAAGAAAAGAAAAAAGAATTAATACTGGAACTGAAAAAAATTTACAAAGTCAAATTCACCAACGTTGGGCTAGGGATATAGCTCAGTTGGTAGGGTGTTTAACCTAATAGTGTCAAGTACCTGTAATCTCAGTATTTGGGAAATAGAGGCAGGAGGATCCAAAGTTTAAGGCCAGCCTGGACTACATAATAGTCTTACCTCAAAAATGAAGACAAAACTCATGCATACCATGTTATGAATACAGTATCTACAATCCAGATAATTACTTATACTAAACAGCAGTGAGATAACGTAACTCTGAAGGGTGTTCACAGTCAAGAGAACTAGACACTCATTCCCAAGGCAAATGATGAATCGGAAATGGGCACCACAGGGTTCACTCACCAATATGCCTGCGACCACAGAGGCCACAGCATTTCTTCTCTCACTCCAGTCAATACATTCACATTCTGGCCACCGGAAATTGTCTAGGAAGCCTGCCATTTTCACTCCGTAAGCATAGATTTTTCATTAAATAATGTTTCCTGCAAACCAAAAGACAAATTTTATCAATGTGTATGTGGCCAGTGGGCAGCGGGGGGGGGGGGGCAGAAAAGGGCACTGGATCCCCTGGTAACGGATCTATAGGTACTTGTGAGCCACCAACATGGGTGCTAGAAACTGAACTCGGGTCCTCTAGGAGGAGCAGCAAGTGTTCTCAACCTCTGAGCCATCTCTGCTGCCCCAGGTAAGGCTTTTAATAAGTATAATAAGTATGATGTATGCTAGTACATGCCTTTAATCCTAGCACCTGGGAGGCAGAGGTAGGAGAATCTTTTAGTATTCAAAGCCAGCCTAAAGTACATAATGAGTCACAGGCCAGCCAGGGCTACAAAGTGAGACCTGGTCTCAAAAAAAAAAAAAAAAAAAAAAGGACCAGGGGTTGGGAGCATGGGTATGGTGGCAAACACCTTTTAATCCCAGCACTGGGGAGGCAGAGGCAGGTAGATCTCTGTGAAATTGAGGCCAGCCTGGTCTACATAGTGAGTTCTAGACCAACAAGGAGACACTGTCTCAAAAAAAAAGAAGAGGGGAGGAAAAAAGGTAAAATATCTCATTCTTTTCTTAAAACTTTAATCTTGGAGCTGGAGAGATGGCTCCACAGTTAGAAGCACTGGCTGCTCTTTCAGGGGACCCAAGTTTGATTCCCAACATGCACATGATGACTGACAACCTTCAAAACTCCAGTTTCAGGAGAATCTGACACCCTCTTCTGACTTCCTCAAGCACTGCATGACACACATACATGAACACACATACATATAGGCAATACACTCATACACATAAAATAAAAATAATAAACTTTTTAAAATTTTTATTTATTATTTTATTTTATGTGTACGAGTGTATTGCCTGCATGCATGTGAATGCACCTGTGTCGTGCAACTCCACGGAGGTCAGAAGAAGATTCAGATTCCCCTGAAACTGGAGTTAAGGATGGTTCGTAGCCACCATGTGGGTGTTGGGAATCGAACCCAGGTTCTCTGCAAGAGCAGTCAGTGCTCTTAACTGCTGAGCCATCTCTCCAGCCCCAATAAACATTTTTTAAAAACTTCATCTTAATCTTAAATTTACTTAATCTTATTCTACTATAATGTAAAAAACCAGTACTTTAAGAAGTACCCACTGAGCTGGGCTTTAATCCCAGCACTCAGGAGCTGAGGCAGGTGGATCTCTAGTTCCAGGTCAGCTATGGCTACAGGGTCTCCCAGTTTCAAAAACACACACACACAAAAAAAAGTACCCGCTGAGATGTATATAGAACTTTGTCTACACACAAGGGGGCGGTACCGACTTTTAAATGGACACTATAATTTTAACACCCTCAGTATGGGTGCTAGGGCAGCAGCGTGTGGTAGGTAAGAGGCAAGCAGGAGGTTCTAGGTTTGATCACCAGCACCACAAGACAAAAATGTAAAAAATCTGTAAATTCTTTGCTGCTTCTCACCCAGAGGAAGGGTGATGTCCTACCCTGGACCTGCAGTCAGCAGTGAGGCCTGGTTGGCCAAAATAGAGGAAACTGCTTTGTAACTTCTGCCACCCTTTTATTTGCGGCAACAATAAAGTCTGGTCAACCAAAATGAAGGAAGGAATACTATGTAACTTCGTCAGCTCACAGCCAACAATGCCCTCAGTAAAATATTCAAAGCTACCAGCTGTGAGGAAACGGGTTCCAGCAGCCTCCCAGTCTACAGCAGAAAGACCAGCCAGCTGTGTGAGCAAAGACACATCTAGTGACTGCTGTCCTAGCTACAGCACCCTAAGCTTTGAGCCTCCCCAGGTAAGGTGCCAGGCACATGCAGCACAGACACATCATCTTGGCTGTGCCCTTTCCACATTCCTAACCACAGAACCCAGGAAGTATAAAAAAGGCTCTCAAAGCCCCCAAATTTTGAGGGTAATCTATAACTCAACAATAACAGCCATCCCACCCTGAATGGGCCAGATCTCGTCTATAACTCAACAGTAGACGATGGGAGAAAGTGTGAATAAAAACCTGCTGAGCCTAGCATACTATGGGATTGTAAACAGGTGATTCAGAACCATAACTTCTTTTAAAAAGGTGGGGGAGGCGCTATTTTAAAACGAGGAGATGTTTTTGTTTGGTTTTTTTTTTTTTTTTTTTTTTGGTTTTGGAGACAGGGTTTCCCTGCAGCCCCCTCTGGCCTGGAAGTCACTATGTTGACCAGGCTGACCTCAGTCTCACAGGAATCTGCCTGCCTCTGCCTCCTGAGCGCTGGGATTAAAGGTATGTACCAGCATGCCTGGCAGGATATACTTTTTGAAAAGTAGGCAGAATCTGAAGGCAATCTGACTTATGCACAAGAAAACACAATGAAGGGGACCCAGTTTTCTACGCTCTCTTGCTCTCCAGGAACTCAGTCCAGGGAGTACATGTTACAGCATGGCTGAAGCTCAAGCCAAGAGCCACCACTTCACTGGCTTGAGACATCAGGTCAGCTGGAAAATTCAGAGGGGAAATGTCAGAGAAGAGTAAGTCACAGAGAATCAAACACTAAAACTCCTGAACACCAGGTGTATGGAAATGTCGAGGAACTCTGCAGAGAAAACTAGCTGGATGGCTAAAGAACCAAGGCTCTCCCAGGTGCCCACTGCAGGGGAGCATTCTCCAGCTGTGTCACCACTCAGGGAATTAGCAAACACTGGGATTTCCAGACACACCCTAATCAAGCACAAAACCAAGTTTCCATAGTATCAAGGTGACCAGTCAGCACCTTAACTACGTGATATGAAAGAAAGCAAACTAGTATATCTGATCAAGATATCCCATAGACATGCCAGTGGATTGTTAATGTAAGGGATTAAATATTAACTGGTGAAAAGTCACAAATAAGGAAGGTTACTAACAACGTGAAGTAATGCCTGAAGGTTAAAACAAAGTGAAATTCATTTCCTAAAGTAGGTACATCATAAAACTCATTTCCCACATAATCTCACAAACAGCTCTATAAGCAGAAAATACACAGCTATTTCCACACTGATGTATGAAATAACTGAGATCTCCTCCTTGCTGGGCCTTAAATTATGTGGGTCAGAGAAGGGTTAGGACAAAAGAACATGAAAGTAAATGAAATTAAGATGATGAGACTGAGGACAAGCAAGAGATGTGGAGCAACAACAGCAAATTATATCCAGAACCCTGGGTCTTAACCAGGAAGAAGTAACTGGTACCAGAGAAACTGGGACAAGAAAGTAAATGAACAAGGTGCTTGAATCAAGTTGGAGAAAGACAGGTAAAGTGCCAGGTCCCAATAAGGGTTAATATGGAGCTCACTAAGGAGTCTGAGTTTCACTGAGTGTAATAGAGAAACGAACACAAGAACTTCAGGAGAAAAGGTCTAGAACACCAAAAGCCTGGGCATCACAGGGGAGCATTTGGGATGGGAAAATGCTGAAGTATCTATCAATAACTCTCAGCTGGGAGGATGACCTTCATGATGGCATGATTACTAATGTTTACCACAGGATACACCTACTTTTATCAAGACACACTCTTGATTCACTGGAAGCTGACAATACCAACCCTTGGCTTCTTGCCTTAAAAGCAGAAATATACATAGTATTTAATGTAAGAGATTAGGAAGAAAGAGTTATTAACACTTATTGAAAGCAAACAGTACTTAAAATCTTAATGTCTGGGGGCTGGAGAGATGGCTCAGCAGTTAAGAACACTGACTGTTCTTGCAGAAGACCCAGGTTCGAATCCCAGCACCCACATGGCAGCTAACAACTGTCTGTAACTCCAGTTCCAGGGGATCCGACAGCCTCTTCTGTCCTCCTCAGGCACTGCATGACACAGGTGCACTCACCCACATGCAGACAATACACACATACACATAAAATAAAAATAAAATATTTTTTTAAAAAATCTTAGGGGGCTGGACAGATGGCTCAGCGGTTAAGAACACTGATTGTTCTTGCAGAAGACCAGGGTTCAAATCCCAGCACCCACATGGCAGCTAACAACTGTCTGTAACTCCAGTTCCAGGGGATCCGACAGCCTCTTCTGTCCTCCACGGGCATTGCACGACACGGGTGCACTTACCTACACACAGGCAATACAATGTATATACATAAAATAAAAATAATATAAAATAAAATTAAAAAATCTTAATGTCCTGCCAGGCGTGGTCAAAAAGACCAAAAAGAAAAATGTCCAGTAACAGCAAATGTTCAGTAAAATACTTTCGTCCATACAATCTACTCTTGAAAACATTTAATGGCTTGAGAAAATAATAAAGGCTAGTATTAAGTGAAAAAACAAAATCTTTGTTTGAGACAAGGTCTCCCTGTAGCCCCTGTTGTTCTGTAACTCACTATGTAGACCAGGCTGGCCTTCTCGCTCAGAGATCCACCTGCCTCTGCCTCTGGAGTACTGGGATTAAAGGTGTGAGCAGCAATGCCTGGCCCTAAGAATTTTGTTTTTAAAATACAAAGTTTTGGGGCTGGAGAGATGGCTCAGCAGTTAAAAGCACTGACTGCTCTTGCAGAGGACCCAGGCTCAATTCCTAGCACCCACATGGCACTTAAAACATATATGCAGGCATAACACTCATACACATAAATAATTTTTCAAAAAAATTTTTAATTAAAAAAAAAGTTTTAGCTGGGCGTGGTGGTACACGCCTTTAATCCCAGCACTGGAAGGCAGAGGCAGGCAGATCTCTGTGAGTTCAAAGCCAGCCTGGTCTACATAGTGAGTTCCAGGCCAGCTGGGGATACAGGGAGACCCTGTCTCAAAAAGACCGAAAAAAAAAAAAAAAACACAAATAGTTTAAAGAAGTTGTGACTAACACAGTGAATTACCTGATTCTTCTGACCTTTCAAGAAACCTCCTACAGAATGTAAGTCTGTAACTACTTTTCATAAATATAAAAGGTTTTTTTTCATAAACACAAAAGATTTTTTGAAGTCAAGGAAATTATTGATATGTTCTTCCATAAAACTCACCATGGTGCCAATT